CGGGCCTGCTTACCTGCTCGGGGCCCGTGGACACTCCTGTGAGCACTGGTGAATTTCACCGGGTTGCAACGTGTCCCCTGCCCTTAATACGTTACCCCTGGCCTCAGCCCACCTGCCCTTCCAATATTATCACAGGTCAAGTCTCAGCCTCAGCAGGGGCCCCATGTGGTGTAAATGCTCCACATGGCAGGGCGAGGCAGTGGGAAGGGTACCTCCTTCCCGGACAATCCTTTTCCCATGGGCTTACCCCTCTCTTGAAGAGTTGCCAGCTTTATCTTCAGAAGGCTTCCCTGGCTCAGCGGCATAAGCGCTTGCCTGGCAAGCCTGAGGTCATGAGTTCGATTCCCAGTACCAAAAAAACCCCAAAACAACAAAAAAAACCCAGAAGGCGTCACTGAAATACCCACCGCCTGCTACCAATGCCCAGCAGTTTGACACAGGAACTAAAGAAGAGACGAACACGATTCTGTGGAGGTGAGCGCAGGGAGAGCACAACCCTAAGCCCACAGGTTGGTGTCAAAGCCGGATTCAGATCCTTCCAGTGCCTCCCACCAGCTGCCAGCTCTTTGGCTGCCGCTGATCCCACAGGACCGGGGTGGTGGCAAAATGGTCTCCGTGTCCAGCACTCAAGTCCTGCCCCAGCTGGCAGGCCTCGACCAGCCCAGCAAAGCCCCCTGTGGGGAGGCCCTATCCCCTGGGAGTCCCACCCTCATCACCCCGGCCCACGAAACCTCTGCTTTCCCTCTTCCTTAGACAGAAGGCTTTCTGCTATCATCTCATTCTTTCAGTCCCCTGCTAACCTGGTGGCATCTGATCCTGGAAATTCTGCTTCATCATCACGGGTTTCAGGCAAGATGTGTGTGTATGGGGGGAGGGAAGGGGTCTTCTTCCAGGCGCATCCTGAGAATCAGCCCTCTGGTGCCATCTCCAGGGACTCCATACCAGATCCGGAGCTGCGGCTACCGCCTTGCTGCAGTGAGGATAGCCCGTTAGAAAGATCTGGGTGCCCAGGAAGGGGTCCTGGTGTTGAAGGACCAACATGGGGTGTGTCTTGGTTACTTCCTTGCTGCTGAGACAAAACACCCGACAGCCGCAGGCGAAGGAGGAAAGGTTTATTGTAGCTCACAGTGCATAGAGGTTTCAGTCCATAGGGGATGGCAGAGGGGAAAGAGTCCATGGCAGCCCAGGCAGGAAGCAGCAAGCCTGCCTTCTCTTCTGTTCCCGTATATCCCACTCAGGCTAGAAGCCTTCTGGGTGGTGGCACCCACACCACGGGCGGGCTTTCCCACTGTCGGTACCTGGAGCTATCCTACACCAGTCAGTGGACTAATTTACTTACCACACACCTTTAGTCTGCATTCGCACACCCTAGATCCAGCCACTCTGAAGAGCCCCACCTGGGAGCACACGAGGTCTGGAGGACATCTAGTTACAGACCCACCACAGGATGGAATCAGAACCAGAGAGCGTGACCCTGGCCGAAGATGTACTGCCAGTGGGAAGAGTGTCAGCCCCTACTTCCTGGGCTGGGGAGCCGACGGGGAAGGCGACCTTGACCTCCTGTGTGCGGGCCGCGTCTGCCCTCTTGCGGCCACTGCATAAACGGCACAGCCAGTGTGTCGGCCCAGAGATGGGGACGTGGGCGGAGCTTCTCCCCACTTCTCAGTCCGCCTCAGGTTGGGGTTCTCAACCATGCCTGATCCATAACTTCCTTTCCACAAAATATCTTTTGTGTAACGATAGTAACTTATAAGTATTTAAGGCAACTTTTAAAAAAAAATTGCATGTATTCATGGAGTACGCTTTGATGACTTGTCACAGGTATACACCTGAAATGACGGTCACCATGGAGGAGGTAGCAAACGTATCCACCCCCCCCAAGCTTCCCTGAGCCCTTGGCAATCGCTCTACCCGCCCTTCCCCACATCCCCACTCCCCAGGGACAACTGACCTGCTTGCTGTCACTGTCCGTCAGTGGACACACACTTACTTTCTATAACAGAACCAACTGTACAGTGCAGGGTCCGTCAGCTTCCTGTTTCTATAACAAACTCCAGAGGTCATTAGCTGACAAAGAGAAGGGCTGTATTTTGGCTCATGGATTTGGAGGTTCCGTCCATGGTTGACTGGCACCATTGTTTCGGAGCTGTAGTGAGGCCCTATCACGGCGGGGGCTCATGGTGGAGCAAGTCTGCTCATATTATGGTGGGAAAGCCAAACAGGCAGGAGAGAAGGGTCCCCCAACCCCTCCGGGCACCCCCATCCCACTACACTCTGTTGCCTCCCAGCATCACCAAGCAGGAGACCACACCTTTAAGACGTGGGGGACACAGAAGATTCAAAGTACAGCAAGGCTGGCCTCAAACTCGTGATGCTCCTCCTGCCTCAGCCTCCTGGGTGCTGGGATGACAGGCATGTGCCGCCTGCCCTGAACTCCTCTGAGGCTTTAAGCTGCAGAGAGGCTGAATTTCCAGCACGTGGCCCTGGAGAATGGATGCCTCCCCTGCTGCCCAGGCCTCCAGTTCTCCAGGGTTCAGGTCATCTGAGGCACCTGTAGAACTCAGGCCACGTAAAGTGCTTCCTGAAGTGCACCCCCAGGATGCCCTCCTCCTGGGGCTCCGCCTCGGCCTGGCTCCCTCTGGCCCCAGGATGCGGCACTCTGCTGCCCTCCTGGAGAAGGAAGCAGGAGGCTGGGCCAGACCCTCGATGCTCTCTGTCACACCTTCACGGGTGGTGACAGGTTGTCAGGTCACCGTTCCACAGACAGTCAACCTGATGCCAACTCTGAGAGGCTGGTGACAAGGGACAGAACCCAACTCAGACTTGTTTATGGAAGAAGGGACACCCGTTGGGTCTCAGCATTGCAGGAAGGGAAGGGTGTGCCAGGGCCCTGAGTGGGCACCCTCTGCAGGAAGGCCACGCCTCTCATGGGGCGACATCCACTGGGACTCAAACTGCTGCCTCTGGCCGGGCCCCACCCAGCTCCAACTCCGAATAAATACATGGGGCCGGATGTCCCTGATAACCCAGGCAGGGCCCTGTGACCCACAGCCCCCACCAACACCCTTTGCAGAAGCAGCTCCCCAAAGGTGTTCCTGTTCCCAGAGAGGAAGGGAGGTGGCAGACGCACCCTGTCCTCCTGGTCTCCCTCACGCTTGTCCCCTCCCTCTCCAGGGCCAGCTGCCATTTTTGTATATTTCCAGGAGAGTGATGATGTCACAGAGCCACTGGGGCTGCCCAGCACGCTGTTCTCTTTAGAACAAAGAAACCAAAGCCAGGCGGGCAGAGTGATACAGACTTGTAATTCCAGCACTTTGGGAAGCTGAGGCAGGAGGATCCCAAGTTTGAGCCCAGTCTGGTCAACTTAGCAAGACCCTGTCTGAAAATAAAAGATTTTTTAAAAAAAAAAAAAAGGCTGGGGCTGTAGCTCAGTGCCAGGGCCCTGGTTTCAATTCCTAGTACTGGAAGAAAAATAAAAGGAAAGAAAGAAAGAAAGAAAAAAGCATTCTATGGCAAAAAATATGTTGCTGTAGTTCCTAATTCCACATAAATTTGGATACCAGCTATAGCAGGAACGTGCTTGGTGTTAGAAGAAGGAAGATGAAATACAACAATTGTTTTTCAGGTGTTTATAATCCAGGTGGGTGCCCAGAGCTCCATAAACCTTAACAGTGGATGATGAAAAGTATACTAAAATCTCTGGTTATGGGTTTGGAACAGTACTGAGACCTGAGTATTCTGTCAAACACAATTACCTTTGAAGTGAAAGGGAAAGCTCAGAAGGAGGTCATGGCAGGGAGGCTGAGGGCCTAGCAGTGAGGTAGAGAGAATGGTAGGGGGAGAAATGGTGCCAGGTGCCACTCATTTAGGTTGTTCAGGAGACTGGGCTAGAATCCAGATGTTTACAGCTGCTGCTTCGGAACAACTTAAGGATTGAGAGGAAGGCCAAAAAGAGACAGCTAGAGAGATGTCCTGCATACAGCCACCAGGGGCAGTGTCTACCAAACTGTGGTGTCATGGGCCATGTATGACTCTACCTTGGAACCTTTTTTTTTTGTTTTTTTTTCCGGTACCGGGAATCGAACTCATGACCTTGTGCTTGCCAGGCAGGCGCTGTGCCACTGAGCTAAATCCCCAGCCCCCCTTGGAGCCTTAACTGTATCAGCTAAAAGATATAACGGTCATTCCTTGAGTTCCTGACTTTGGAATTTCACAGGCCAGTCAACTGTCAAAAACTGAAAACAAGACATCCAACTTTTAACTTCAATGGTTAAGAGTCTTAAAAAACAACTATCCTCGGTTTTAACATGTCTTCATCAAACTTTTTAGCATCAAAGTTGTAGGAAAACGAAGTGGAATACATTTTATTGTATGAAAATTTAAAAGAATTATATCATCCTCTTCTCATTTTGCTGAGGTCGGGTGACAGTTTCATCTTAGACCAGGGTGGACCTGAGAGCGGTAATTAAGAAACCACGCGAGATCTCTCTGGGTCTGACATTCTAGGAACAAAATGAAGTTCCTCAGGCCACTGCCTCTTCCGGGTCACTCTGACAGCCTCTCTATCAGGACACTGTGCATCCCCCTTCGCAGCCACTGTGAGCTCTTGGGTTGGTCCCTATCCGGACCCACTCTCTTCCTTTCCGGATTTGTCCTCCTCGTGCTGGCCCTGATGTCCCGCATTCTCTGATGCCCATGGCACACACAGAGCCCCGGGATCACCAGCCCACCAGGGGACTCTCTTGAAGGGTTTCACGTTAGTCTATGAATAGCGTAGTGAGCTTTCTTCTGATCCGCGAGTTCAACCTCAGGCAGCTTTTTCTGTTTTTGTTTTTGTCTTTTTGAGACAGGGTCTCCCTATGCAGTTCAGGCTGGCCTTGAGCTCACTTTGTAGCCCAGGTTGGTCTCGAACTCCCAACGATCCTCCTGCCTCAGCCTCCCGAGTGCTGGGATTACAGGCGTGCGCCATCTCGCCTGGCTCTTCTGGCAGCTTTAGAGATCTCTCCCTCGTGCTCCCTCGACAGGCAATGCCAAACACCTGATGCTTCAGTGTCCTCCGGAAGAACATGAAGCCAGCTACTATAAAGGGTCTGTACCCTCCATCCTGTAGGACCACCCTTAGGATTAGACCCTAAAAACACGCCTGAATAGAAGCACTGAGCTGGAGGAGATTGGGGCGCCGGGGCTGGAGTACGGGAACAGAGACGCTCCCTGATGGGAGGGGCGGGCCAGCGGCCTATTTTGGTCCCGCCTCTTCCCCACCCTGTCCAATCAGACCCTGTTTCGCTCCAGCAGGGACCGCCCTTTTTAAAAACTCGAGGGTGTGTCCTGCGCAGGGCCAGTACTGCTTGAGCCTCAGCCGCGCGTGCGCAGTACTGCTTGCGCCTTACCCGCGCAGGCGCCGTAGTGCTGGACCGTAGGCGCTGAGGTTCTGTGGTCGGGATGGCGGAGTTGATTCCGTTTGCAGTTCCCACTGCGAGCGACAAAACCTTGCTAGTGTGGGATCTGAACGCTGGACCCACTGCCGAGGCCCTGCACGTGAGCCGGGGCGGAGGGAGGGAGGAGGAAAGCGCCCCTGGGTCCCGGACTCCCGCCTCAGCGCCGCCCCCTGGAGGGCGGGGTCGCGCGGGCTTGGCGGGGACGCGGAGCCGATCTGCACCCGCGCCGCCCTCCGGGGCCCTCTCGCGGGG